CTGGCCCACTCGACGATGGAGAACAGGGTTTGATCAGCCATTTTGCACATAAGCCCAAACGTGCTCAGCTTTTCATGCTTGCTCCGGTTAGCCTGTTCTTGCTGCAGATAGGCCATGATTTTGCCCTGGACTTGAGGCTCATCTGGCTCACACTTCAAAAGTTCCAGTATCAGATGCGGGATGCTTGCTGGGGAGTTTGTCTGGTAACTATCCACGTAGGAGTAGCCCATGAGGGACTCTGGCGAGCTGGTATAGGGGTCTGGATACTCGGACTTGATGGCCCGGCTGGGAAAGTGACTGTATGTCTGGTAACCTTGCAGGCTGCCGTGAGGTGGCATCGTCATGCTAATGGGGGATGTGACAAAGGGGCTTCTGTCATAGTCTGTGGGAGGCAAGGCAGCATGGTTCAGAGGTAGGCCTTTGGAGGCAGAGTGGATGTTCTGAATAGCAGAGGAGATGGTCAGCTCGGAGGGCATGGCCTGGATCACCTGAGACATGGCTTCTAGCTTAAGTCCATTGGCTCGGATGAGGGCCTTTTTTTGCTGCTTCAGGGCCCTGTCTCTCTTGTACATTGGCCCAAACTTATTCCGTCCCCCGCGCATTCGGTCAGCCCTTACCGCTGTTGGAGGAAGAAAGGAAGAAGGGTATAAATAAGATGCAGATTATTCACATGCTCCAGAAATGTTGAAAATTGACCAGAAGTGGTATGTGTGTGGCTGTTCTCTTTACAATAGCCCGCAAATATTCCAACAAAAGCCCTGTCCTCTTAATTTATGAATCCTTTCCTCAACGTGTATTTGTCATCAAAAAAATATTTTGGAGAGGTAGGGACATATTAACCCTTTAGTGGACTGGAGAGACTGCATAATTTTTGCTATACAGTGGGTATACAGTGAATGGCTAAGAAAGATTAAGTTTTCCTGCTAAGATGATCAGTTTTTATTACCACTTACGTTGTGGTCTTTCCATAGAAATTTGAACTGTGAGGGAAAAAATATTAACCTATTTCTGGATTAAACTTTGGATATTTTTCCTAAGAATATCTTCCATCCTGAAAGCTATTTTGGCTACTTTGCTGCAAAAGGGTTAGGTACACATTCTTCTTAAAAATATCACTTTCACACATCAGATAACCACCAGTTATGGTTTTTAATTTAAGCAGACCTGGACATAATTAAAGCAAATTCATTTCATGAGCTGTCAAGGAAGTCCACCATCACGACGCCTGCCGTGTGGAGTCTGGGGTCATGCCTAATAAGTTAGTTCTCTCCAAGCCCACAGTGGCCAATGGCAATTAGAGAAACCAGCAACCTCTGACAGCTTGTGACATGTTGAAATTGCTGGAGGTTAAGTTTTTGAGCTTTTTATCTTAGGATTAGTATAGCATTAAAAATTTATCATGAATGCTAGGAATCTAGAATACTATACAAGATAATAATGAGTCTTTTGAGTGGATGATAATTTGTTGGATATTCAATTGTTCCTTATCACTGTTAAGGAAGTTTGAGTATGCACCACGAGTGACTTATAGTTAAAAAACATACCTTTTAAGGTAAAGAAATACAACCTTTTGTTAAAAAAATCAAATGACATCATAAGTAACCACAGCATTTAACTTTTAACATTTTATTTTCTCGGTCTCATACTATGGTAAGCATCTACCACACTAGCTTGCTGTTTAGAAAATAATAAAGTGATTGATGATAAAGAAATTAATAAGCATTAATTTACTTTTTAGTACTTTTTAAAAGCAATACTGAGTTAACAGTCCTCATGATAACCAATGTGGTTACTTCTGTTGGAGAGGAATCTATTAGCAATTTAGCAGATTTATTTGAAATTTCTTGGGTATTTCTATTAAGTCTAAGTTCCACATAATAGGAAAATGCCAAACAAAACTAGCCTGAGTCTCATTGATCAAATAAAATGCACTCTTCTATGTGGCACATATCAGTGATATGTATCCCTTACTGTTACTTCATTTGCAGTATATTTAATCTGTAGAAACTCAGTGGGTCAGAGGCTAAAAAACAGTAATAGCCCATAATAGTTCATGAACTACAAATTATTTACAGCAGTCACATATTAACTTTACTGTCTGCCAATCTGTACATTGTAAGTACAGGTTCTGCTCTTTCAACATAAAGTTTAATGTGGTCTTTGAGGAACCATACTCTTGTTCTTCTCAAACCAGTGCTACTGATTTAATAGTTCATTATTTTTCATGTTTCCGGCTTTTCAAGCAGACTTGATCATTTCAAAAATACAAAAATAGGCTTTCCTGCCCTATCAGAAAAGATACTTTACATGATAAACTCCTTTTTACAAACAAAGCCTTTAACTCTTGCACAGAAATCATGAAATTTATAGTAGCAATTATGACAAGTACACCTATTTTAAAAAATTAAGCTTTTACTAGGCCCTACTGATTTGAAAACTCAAGGGTTTCTTGTAAAAATACTTTTGCAAGTTACTTTTATTTATTCTCCCTTGAATTACTTTACTCTTGCTTTCATCTGACCTAACCTGTTAGTGTCAAATGCATCTGGTCCCCAAATTAAAGAAAAAAGAAGGTGGGTGGGCAACTTATATTAAAAAATTTTCCTAGTACATTTAATCAGAGTGTCAATGAGACTTAGACTATTCTTCCAACAGAAAAAGATCTTACATTATTTTTGTCAGTAATGTTAAGGGGGTAAGAAAATAATGTTACCATGTTACAAATACAATGTTGTTTTAAATCCTATGTCCTTGGAGAGTTCTAACAGGCAGTAGTCTTTAGAAGAATCTTACCTTCTAACTTCATTCCAACACTTAGACATTTTTGAAATCGACAGTAAGGACAACGTTTTCTCTGTGTTTTGTCAATTTGGCAGTTCTGGTTTTCTATACATGTGTACCTTTTATTATTTTGGACTGTTCGCTTAAAAAATCCCTATAAGACAGAGAAAATAGACAGACATTATAAATCTGACACCCGTCTCTTCCATTGTTTTATCTTAAGGAAATCACCAGTAAATCTTTTCATTGTACCATTTGAGCCCTTCTGTGGTTCTGTGGTTTGTTTTGCATTTTAACAAGATCAACCCTCCAAAATACTGCCAGGCCATAGTGGGGACTTTTCTGGCATCACAGTTATATTCCTGAAGAATTACATCAAATCTTCAGGAGATTTGGCTATACACCATTTCATCTTCACAGTCAGAGGAAAAAATGTACATTCTATATTGACCCATGATTTAAAAAAAATCTGCTTTCTTAGTAACCTTCATGTTCAGATAGAGGTACTCATGGGGTCTGCATTATTAAGTAGTCTAACACAATTTCAGTGACAAACTATTGCAGAATGCCAGTGGAAAAATTGAAGAGCAAAACACCTCAGATCTTTTACAAATGTCAACACTAAATAGTTGAAAGCAGAAGGATTTAAAGAATAAGTTGGGAAAATATTCATAATTCCATTGAAATACATTCAAGTAAGGGAACTCTTAAAAAAAAGGCAAAGCTAATGGAAAGGAAAGAAATATACAGCAGAAGGCTGAATTTTAGCACTGGACATGCTTTCCTTATATTTTATTCAAAAGAATTTATCAAAAATAAAATGTGTAACTCTATAATATGATAACGGCTTTACCAGGATGTTCTATTGTTATTTATCCTACTAAGCATAAAGTGACACAATCTTACTTTGCTATAGAGAATGCAGGGATTTTCCTGGCAGTGGTTTAAATATTGTACTGAGTTTTCTACTTAAAAAGCTGCTGAAAATAGTATCAAAAATGGGGAATACATAAAAAGATTTGAGATAAATCTCGAAAGTATCATTGATATTATTAGCAACAATATAATACATTTCACATATTAAGATTTCTGGCATTTAAAGAGGTCATATTCATGAGAAGTACTCTAGTAAACAAAGATCTGGTTTCTTGCACTTTCTGATATAAATTTCAAAAAAAAATCTTTAAAATTGTTTTTAGTATAAATCAGAGTGAAATCAGGCATTTGGGAACTTAGTCTTTTATGTCTGTGGATAAAAATGTTTAGAATTGGAGCACAGAACACTCTGCAGTTAAAATGTATTTGGGAAATACTTTCTCATGTCCCTTTCAAGAACAACGATGCTTTAAATATATATATATATATAAGTCAAGCAAAATCAATATTTAGGACTGCAAGAAATAGAAGTCTTTCTAAGGCTACATCACTTTACAATAATAAAATATTTTAAAGCCATGAGACTGGGCAAAGTTTTCTAAACAGTATAAATTTCTCTGCCTTTTGAACTAAATTTGACACATATTTCTAAAAATCATCTTTCTAAGACTACCTCATCCTTTGTTGAGTCTAAACAAAGCCTAAATTTAGCTTTATAAAGGAATCCAATGGTTCACTTTGGTTTTGAAAATGATATTTCTCAGATAGCAACTTATAAGCAAACCTTGCAGCTTTCACAGGTGAGGAGCCCATAATGGTACCCAGACACTTTATCTCCACACACGGGACAGAGCTCTTCAAGATCTTCATCATAGGAGTAATTCACCATTTTAAACTGAGACACTGAAACAAGAAGAGAAATGTATATATATACACATATTCAATTAATTTACTATATAGCTTGTAATCCTGCAATGAAAGGCATTTTGGTGAGCAAATATCACTCAGTAAAATGAAAAATAAAAATATCTTTTACCCAGTTGTACTGAAGAGAACAGTTTTTGTACAGTGAAAGTAAAAAGTAAACTTTCAATAAGTATCTGCTTTACATTTTTTTGATTTAAAAATAATTCCAACTTCTTTTGTTAACTTTTTTTTAAAAAATGACCACTGTAGAACACGAGTCTCAGAATTCTGAAAAGCAGCAAATCAGAACAGAAATGTAAAATGCATCAAGTAACAACTTAGAATATCTTTTAAACATCCTTAAAATTAAGTTCGAAAATGCCACTTTTGCCTAAGGAAGATTAACAAGCACAAACATTATTTTCCCACTCTTTAAGTTTGCTGCAAGTACATCTCGCGTATAAGGATGGCAACACCAAGCTGCAAACACTTGACCGAGAAAATGAAGCCCCAGAAACCTGCTTCTCAGCAGCAGCCCCACTTTAACAAAACAGCCTGCGGCTCCCAGCGTTCAGATCTGAGACTAATCGAAACATTCAGTTCCGTATTGACAGGACTCCTGTTCTGGATACTGTTCATCTCCCCACATTTGAAAATCTGTAAAAATAAAAAGGAACGGGGTGGGGGGGCGTGGAACGCCCGGAGGAGAAAGGAGGGAAAAGATACACATGCGGGTTTGGTTTCGTCGCAAAGTATTGAAGCTCTGTAATGAACTTCACATGTTTCCGATCATCATTGCAAAATATAAACACCTCGAGATCAGCCAGTGAAGTTGAACAGAAATCAGGCCGCAGCTTTGCGCCGCTCCCTGCGCGGATCTGGTCACCGCCTTCCTCCCGACGCAGCCCAGCGAAGGCGTCTTCGCAGCCCCAGGAGAAACCATGCATGGGAAGGAGACCGACCGAGGGACCCCAGATAATACCTGGTCCCGGCCCGCCCCGAGACTCCGCGTGCACGCGCGTCCGGTACCCGGGAGCGGGCGCGGCGAGTGCGGCTGGCGAGGGGCAGGACCGCGCAGCCCGGCCCGCACCCCTCGGGGCTCCTTCCTCTGAAACCCAGGGGCACCCTCGCCTCTCGCCCCTTGCTCAACCTTCGGCTACACACAGGCGCACAAACACCGAGTCGAGTTTGTTTTAAGTTAATCAGTGGCATTTGCAGGGGGCGGGGCGGGGGGGGATGGGGAACCGCTGGCGGGGCCGAAGTTTCCTCTGATTTGTTTACCAAAAAGGAAAGAGAGCGCAGCCCCCACCCCAACCCCTATTACCACAGTGGCCTCGGGGTCAATACTAGTTCTTTTCTTCCTCTTCTTTAAAAAATAAAGTTCTATTTTCTCAGCGGATTCTGCGGGACTCGGGAGAGCGCAGGGCGGGGACGGGGTGTCACTTGCGGCACCCCCCTGCCCAGGGCCGAGCCGGGGCCGACCGAGTTCAGCCCCCTCGCCGCGAGGCGGAGACCCCTGGGCTGAGTCTTGAACCCAAGTGAGTTAGCCAGAGGTCGGGGGCTGGGGGACCCGGGGAAAGGATGATCCAGCAGAGCCAGGCTCCAGGGCTCCGTGAAATAGGCGTAAAGAGATGCTGAGCATAGTCCTCCGGGCGGGGCCTGCCTGAGTCCCAGCCCTATGAGGTCCACGCTCTGGTATTGGGAGTTTCGGGGAGACTGAGGTTTCGAGAAGTTCGTTCACAGACCCGTCTCTTCTAAAACTCGTGACTATTGTCTTGAGGCACGTTTTAGGGACGGAAAAAATGTGTACTTTACCAATGTGTGTTATTTTCTATCCCTTCCCCCAAAGTAAACGCAAACTTCGCACCTAAGGGGCACAGAAAGGCAACTGTTTACAGGGGTACTCGGTGCCCACCTAGGGCGTTCAATACCGAAAAGACCAACTAGGGGATAGGGACCCCTTGGAAAATTCAAAGGCAGAGACCGTGCAAGGAGATGCCGCTGTGCGATCCCCGGGCACCTTTCAGAGTTTCCCAGGTGCATTTGGAGAACCGAATCAGAAATTCCTGTCTACAGAAAGGAAGAGACGATGGGGCCTTGGGAAGTCAGGGTCGCCGAGAAGCGCGCGGTAAAATTCCCGTTGAGTTGGGCGCCCCGCGCAGCCCCCGAACCTGTCGCGGGTCCTGTTTCTGGATCCCCCACGGATCTGACTGTGGCGCTTCCAGCGCTGAAAGCAGAGCAATCATGGAAATGGGCCCGGATCCCCACGAGCCCTTCTCAAGGGCGCACCGTGGCCTGGAGGAAGCAGTGTCCAGGAGCTTCCCACGCTGCTTTCGAACCCGGGGCCGAGCCTGCGGCGGCTTCGCACTGGGCACAAGGAAAGCTGACCTCCTGCTCTGGGTATCAGGTCGTCAAGAATGCCCCTCACGAATTTTACAAAGAAAATGTGACAAAGGTATTTCCCTCCCGCCCTCCCCCGCACTGAAACCTTTATTCTTGCCTCCCCTATTTCTTGCTGCCTGAACTTTGCGCGAGTCCCTCAGAAACGCGCGCGCGGAAATGAGTAGAAACTTTCCCTTTGCATCCAAGAATCGCGCCGGCCTCACGGAACGCCCAATGGATAATCTCTCTCCAGAGTTGGCAGCGGAGGTCCCCGGATCTGACTTCCCTGCGCCACTTCACGTCCCCACTTCGTGGGAATCCTAGGTGCGGGAATACTTCTTTGGGACCACCGGGTTCCCCCAGCCGTCAACCCACAAGTTAGTCTCCGAGACCTCAGCCCCGGGGGACAGCCACAGCCCTTCCAGGGGGCTTGGAGAGACTGTAGGATCAAAGATCTCATAGCCCGACGCACGACTTCCCGGCACCCCCTTTTCCCAAGTCAGCGGGGCGACATGAGGCCCCAGGCGCCAAGGGCTTGGTGCGCGGGTAGCTGCCTATCCCGCAACGCGGCGTGCACCAGCCCTGAACTCTGCTCTCAACACCTCCCCGGCACTTTCAAGTTCGCTGAAGGGGATGGCAGGAAGCTTCGGGATCACAAGCTCGCCGGCCGGCATATCCTGCGCGCTGGATGGGGCGAGGATGGAAGAGCACCGGTGACTTTTCCTAGCATTGTTCCCCCCTGGCCCAGGGCAACTGCGATAAACTTCTGAAGGCTTTAAACAGTCAGATCTGGAGTCGCTATTTTGGATTGGATCGAAAATATAGTCAGCGGGATTTGCTTTTTAGTCGTTAGCAAACAAGAGCCCGTGCCACAAATAAAAGGATTTCCATATTCCCAAGCTCCGGGACCGCAGCCCCCAGCCCTCAGCTCACTCGGGACAACCCGCGCGCGGGTGGCGCAGGGGTAACTTTGGTCCTCTTAAGTTCTGCCTGCAGTTCTGAAATCGCCCAAATGCCAGCCGGCTCCGGGTAATCGCCTTGACTTTAAGGGGTCCCACATCCATTCCAACCGCTCAAATAAGCCCCTCCTGAGCCACCTATTTCTATAGTTGACTTTCCTACACAGTGCCTCTCCTCCACACAGAAGTATTGGCTAAAGTTCCCTTGACCGAGAACCCGCCCGGGTTTTCAGGGAGACCTTCCATTTGTTAGAATGATCTTACTATTCTAAAGTACCCTTAGCCAGAAGCTGCCTCTCTCCTGAAGCCATAAAGCTCGAAACCTCTCTTTTCTTAATTAGAAGCGGACAATTAGGCATTACTTAGAAAACCTCCGCCCCTCATTGTTCAAGAGCCATAAACTTTTATGCCTGCACCTTTGGAAGGGGCCGGGCGCCGCGCGCGGCCCCGCCACCCCGCCTCGGCGAGCGCCCAGCCAGGCCCCTTGGGCTCCCGCGCGGGGCGGGCGGCCCCAGCGGCCAGGGCGAGCCGGGGGGTGAGGTCGCCTCGGTAGCCCGGGCGCCGCCGGCGCCTCCTTACCTTGCATGTTTTCCGGCATCTGCCCCTGTTCCCCATGCGATCGGGCCAGTCCCAGGGCTTCCGTCTCCACTTTAGGCAGCATGACAAGGCGGCCGCGAGCGGGGGCGAGGGGTCCGTGTCCGTCCGCAAGCCCAGCACCTGGACACGGGCAGCACAGATTCAACTCCGGCGCACAGGAGGGGGGCCTGGGGAGCCTGCTCACCCACCCGCTCGCAGGAGCCTTCCTCCGTCTTCTCCCCGCCGCGGGTCAGGACCTCTGAGCCCCGTCCAGTCTCGCAGCTCCGGAGTCGTCCCCAGGCCGCGGGGAGAGCGAGAGGGGCTGCGGGACGAGGCGAAGCCGGCGTCCAGGCGCCCTGGCGCGCTCGGCAAGGGCCGAGTCGGCGGCGGTGGCAAGGGCGCTGCTGCCCGGGGCGCGGATCCGTGGATGGGCGAGCTGCGGGCGCGCAGCCGAGGCGGCCGCGGAGCTGCTGCTGCCACCGCGGCGGAGCCGCAGCCGCAGCTCCCGGACGGCTCGGGCGACTCCTTTCCCTTCCTCGCCCGCCCTCTGGCTCGGGATCGGCAGGGGTCTCTCTCTCTCTCTGTTTCTCTCGCCTCACATCGCCTCTCTCCCCTCCTCTCTCCTCTCCGCCCCTTCCCCGGCCCCTGCTTCCCTCTCCCCGCTGTCAGGACTGTGGAGTTGCGAAGTTCCAGCCTCCCTCTCCTGCCTCGTCCACTCCGCGCCCCGGGTCCGAGAGCAGCCCTTTCCAACCCCCAGGGTGCCGGTGCCGGGGAGCAAAGAGGGGAACAGGAGGAGAAGGGAGGTAAGTGGGGTCGGGGACAGGGGAAGGCTGGGGTGAGGGGTGATGACAGTGAGTGGGGACGCGGGTTCCGGACTCGGGTCGGACACCAGCCGCCAGCCAATGAGGACGAGGCGCATCCCGACCCCCCCCCCAACCTCGGCTGCCCCAACCTCTTCACCCCGCCTTAACCCCCTCCCACCCCAACCTGGCCTGGGGCGGGGGATGTAAAAGCTGCCTGATCTTACAGCTAGTGAGAAGCGACCTCTGTCTGAGCCCGGCGGCGAAGGATGAGACTAGGACGGAGATTTCTGCGGACGGAGGGGAAGCCAGGAGGAGGGACGGGGATGGAGTGGGTGTGGGGTGTGCCTTCGCGTGTCTGTTGGTCGAGTGAGGGGCTGGAGGGGGAGGTTAGCACCCATTTAAACAACCTAAAGGAGAAAAGAGATGTTAAGTTGAGTTGTCTGCTCTTCGCAAAAGCCGAGCCTGCCCTCCCTCCAGGACACCCAAGCTTCTATCCCCCTCAGCACTCAGTCGGCGGAGAGGCCCCGTCGTGGGCCGTGCTTGCCCGGAGTGGCCCAGCATCCCTCTCCCAGGAGACAGTCAGGTGGAGAATTCACTCATTTGCCTGGAACTTGAGGAACAGCTACCCATTTGCCCCCCCACACTTCCCAGTTTCTTCATTCAAAAACACCTACCTACACACACACACACACACATACACACACATCCTGGGGCATTATCTTGCAGGCAGATTTCCTAAATTTTAGTGAACTTGTTTCCATGTAGACTGCAAAGATCAGTGTGGGCTTTCCTCTTTCATTCTGGTGCCTCTGGTGGACCATCCAAATGAGACCCGAGGCCCAACTAGCACTTTAAAAAGTTTTAAAGTACCATCTGTTATGCAAACTCCTCAGCCACCAACCCAGCTACGTCTTCAAAGTTTTCAGATCTCATACCAACAAGATGAAAAACATTTTTTTTCTCCAGCCTCCTGGCTGCATGTGAAATGACTTATACTCAGTGTTGGCTGAGAGGCTGATAATTATCAGAGTCCACCCACAAGGGGGTAAATTTGAATCTCAAAGGATCTGAATTTATTCTATTTCAATAGCATTGAGCTCTCACTT